CAGACAGACTGAGCATAGCTGTGTGGAGTGTTATAGAATGGAGCCTTTGGTAGAAAAAGCAGTTCAGAACAGAGCGTTCAGAGCAGGAGGAAATCTGAGGTTTTGGCTTACAGGGATTTCTTTTAGATATCTTTCCTCATTATTCGAAGCTTTGGCTATGTTTCACATGAACATCCAACATTGTAACATAGTAGATAACTCGTAAAATATGGAGAAGCATAATAAGTCTCTTTTAATAGAGATGCAGGAATGTGGCTGGAAGGAGGGATAGAGAGGCAGAATAGGCAAAAATAAAAACAACTGAGGCAGTTTTCGTGACTAGAATCAATGAGCATTCATCAATAGCACATGTAAATGGTGTCATTATTCAGATAATATCCAGACACAAGTCACATGTTAATTCCAAGTGGAAATGGGGCCTTGTACTCACTTAAATTAAGTGCAATTCACTTCACTTTTATTTATATAGTGTCAGTTCATAACAGAAATAATCTTATTGCAGTTTTCATTGAGCAGGTCAAGGCCATAATCTTTGTCATAATATTTATTATTCCCACCATGAGCAAGCACTTAGTGACGCAGGCAGGAAAAACCTTGAAAAAACCTTGGGCAGAACCTTGTGCTTGATAAATTGTGTGCATGATTTCTGTAAAAGAAATATAAGTACAACTACATTTGAGATAATTATTAGTAGTATTATAAGTAACATGTAAAATCTATTCATTATCATCATCGTCATCGTCATCCCTGCTAGCTCTCTGATGACATTTTATTTTTCAGCTACACGTGGACGTTTGAGAAGATCAACCTCAGCATGGTCCTGGTGATCACAGGTCAGCTGGTCTGCTCATACGACGAGGAGTTTCGAAGACTGTACGCTCGATCCACAGTTCCTGCAATTCAGTCCAAGGAGAGGTCGCATGTCCAGTACCTGAGAGACAACGTGGGCCTGCAGAACTCCAGCCAGCTTTCCCTCCGTCAGATTCAAATGAGATCCAGAATGATGCACAGCGTGAGAGGTGCTCCGAATGACAGGTTTAACAATGCCGCCATGATGACCAGGGGCCTGAGCGTGCAGGATATGCTACATCCATCTCACTGTGCTGAAAGGGAAAATATGGTGCGGGGACACAGTTATGGCGGAGAACTGCAGAAGTTAAGCTCCGTGACTCGGCTGAGAATGGGGACCAAGGACATCGGAGCCCCTGTTGCTCCTGAGAGGGCTGGATCGAACATGAGGGGGGGCGGTGACTTACAGCAGACAAACAGGTTGTCCCAGCAGCACCATAGGCACCGGACTCGTTATGGAGCTGACCAGAATCTGATACCGTTCAACTCTGAAATATCTCTCCACAAGTGGAAGATGGACATATACCTTAACAACAGCGATGAGCCTCTAGATGCATCATGTGATGCGATGTCCCCAATGGCATCTCCATATAGTAGTCACACAGGCTTAAACGAGCATCAGTCACAGCTTATTCACAACAGGTCAAGGGAAATTAAGTCCAGGATGGAAGAAATGAGGCAAAAGAGGCTCAGTCTGCAGGAATACGCCAATCTCAGGCAAAGCCAAGAGTCCTTGAGGCATGTGTATCTGATTCCGGAAAGTCAAAAATTTATGTCTTCATTAAGAGGTCTGGACATGAGTGTGGCAGAATTAGAGCCAAATACAGAAAACGGTTGCAGCCTGAAATCGACTAACCACAAAGAGAGTGAGCCGCACAAGGAAGGCAATAAAAGAGAGATCATTCTCACCGAGGGCCACCGCTCTGCCTCTCACTGTGATGTCAAAATGGTTCCAGATCGAAAGCAATGCAGCCCTACGACTGGCATGAGCCTCTTTCAAGGGCATCCTCAGCTGCCGATTTAGATAAGAAACTCAACGATCCATCGCTTAAGCTCTCTCATTTGCAGGTTAGCGAACCAAGTACCCATCACCCAAGAGCAATGGAGTCTTTGACTGAAATCCCTGAAGAGAAAGAGGGTTCAAATCCACGTGTCAACAGTTCGGACTCTGCTGTATTCAAAGATGAAAGTGAGGAGATTCACAAAGACAAGAAAGCTGTACCAAAGGAGAATGCTGTGAAAACAAGCTTACCTGCAAAATCAGAGCGTCAGGATCAAGCAAAATCACATCAAGCCAGAGGAAGCCATGGTTCTATAGGTAAGGCATCCAACAACACAGGCTCAGCTGCTCCAAGGGAAAGAAAGAAATCAATATCCAGTGAGGGAGAAACTGGCCTGAAGGCCATAAACAATTCTACAGGATCTCAGCATGCAATGGAAGCTAAGAGTAGTCACACAGAAAAAAGGAAAACACAGCACGAGGAACCGACCCTTCAAAGGAAGGATTCCTTGAGACTGAAAGTATATTCGATGCTTACGTCAGACGAAAAGAAAGCATCCAAAAAAGAGGAGAAGTCACTCCAAAGAAAGGGCTCATTGAGATCTAAGAATCCCTCAGGAACAAGCCAACCCCTCAGAGCAGACCATTCACAGGGATTTGAAGTAGATCAAACAACAAAGAAAGGTCAGTCGTCAAACATCCCCAGGTCACAGAACCCTGTCAGTGGTCCATCTGAGACAGAGAAGCAAAAATCTCAATTCCCAAGATTATCTCCTCAGCGATCAAGCAAAAGAAAGACGAACCTTACAGCAGAGCAGGACCAAGGCTTTGGCAGCCCTCTGGACAACGAGGAAGCAACTGTCTATGAAGGACACAAAGTCTACAGTCGATTTGAATATTTGCTTAGTACTGAAAGTGTTCCTCGGGATAAATCAATGAGGGCAGCAAGGATGCATCCCTCAGAGAAAGACAGAGGCGCTTCCCTGAACAGGCATGACACTGGCTATCCAGCGTATCAGACACAAAGTGGCTCTGACAACAAACTGGGAAGATTCATGCAACGAGTAGGAAGTCTAATAAACAAGAACAAGTAGAAGGAAGAGAAAGAGGCCACTATGCTCAGGAATGAAGTCAGAGCTGGTGTGTAGTCCTTCTATTGTTTCTTGATTTTTTGGCATCGCTCCCACACACAGGCTGTACATCACCACTGCAGTCTGTTATCTCTTTCATATGTTTGATAATGTGGCTAAGATCTTATCAGGGAAGATATTTACCACTGATATCAAAACACACAAAGTGATGTCTCTCGTATCTGCTACTAACTAAATATCTTTCTATTACCCTAAATTTGATATGACAGGGAAGCAGGGTAGATGTGAAAAAGCCAATAAATCAAGTTGTTTACTAATGAAGTTAACGCAGGGTCAATGTAACAATAGCGCTTGTATACAGGAATCAGGATCATGTAAGATGGATTGTAAAAATGATTGTTAAAAATATGTCTACATGGAAATTGTTTGTTCTTTATAAAAGTTTACTTTAGTCCGGTGATATTTTATATTTTGTCTATTCATAACAAGCTCGTGAAAAGACCAAAACCAATAGTATTGTGTGTGTATCCGAAGCCTGGCATATCTTACTCCTCTGTGCCTTAGAGCGCAATTGTTCTTAGGAACATATGGTTGACATGTTCCCTTATTAAAATGAACATGGTTATTGTAGCTTGTAGCTTGTAAGTTATTGTATCCTGCTGCCCCAATACTCACCAAAGCACCAAATGTATTAATCCGCTGCTGAAAATAATCCCCATCAAAGTGAGTAACATTTGCTAAAAACTCAAGTGACCAGCTGGTTTACAAAATTACTGAGCCATTTATTTTAATTAAACCACATATTATTGTTGTATTTTCAGTAGGAACCACTGGTCTTTGAACTTTGAAGAGTCACAGACAGATTAGTGAAGTCAGAAAGTATTAAGTGACAGACTAACACATTGTTGGTTTTGGTCTTTTCATTGAATTTGTTGACAATAAATAAATAAATAAATAAGTAAATAAATAATATATATTATTGCCAACCTTATCCTTCAGTGTACTTTTGTAAAATGTATATTTTCTAACAAGGCTTGATATTTTCCCTGTGTTGTCCTTTGATAATTATGAAATTTATGGCTCAGCTGTCCTCACGGAAGATATTCATGTTTGAAGCATGTGTGGTTGTAAAACAGAGAAATCCAAATGTTTAAATGTACCACAAAACAACCACGTTGACTAAAGGGAAATGTCTTGAATCCAAGAGTGGTTCCATGTGACTAATGAGGTATTATTACTAAGAAGTCATAAGTACATTTGGCTTCTTAATGACTTGGTGACAATGACTCAGGTTGCAGCACTAGCTGGTGTGGCAGAAGTGTTTTAAAATTTTATTTAACCTTTATTTTAACAGGAAAGCCCCACTGAGACACGGTCTCTTTTACAAGGGAGTCTTGAATATCACAAATAAGAAGATATCTCAAAATCTGTAAACATAAAAATTAGATTTTTGAAGGGAGATAAGGTTTTCTAGACCTCTAGATGATTACATCTTAAGATCTATTCAAGAGCTTTGAATCTTAAGGTGAGGTGAGATTGTTTTTAAATGTTTTTTGTTAATTAGGTGTACTGACACTGGTGAAAAAGGCACACACAGAAACATTACATTTTTATACACTGTAAATATAAACATATACATGTGTGAAAACAATGCCTGAAAACCAACTTTTTTTCCCCAAATCACTTAGGCTTTGCAATTACATTCAGGATTTCACGTGTCTTTTTTGCAATGAGAAGGTTAAGCTGTAAAACTCTTTGATACTTTGGTCATAGACGATCAAATTTAAGCACCTCTCTCTGACAACAGCAAAACAAGACATAAAGTCAGCAGCCACACGAGCGGAGGAACAGGTTGTAATGTTTGTTACACACCAAAAAAACATTACTGACTAGATTAAAGATGTAGATTTGCTTAGCATTTAGCATTTTGTTTAGCATTATTGTTATAGAATGTTTTATCTTTCTTCTCTGGCAGACTTACCCAATGTGCAGAAAACTTATTTTTTTATTTAACAGGTTATGTAGTACTAAACTTCTATGTTTGCAGTCAAAGCTACAGGTGCATCAGTATTGTTCTTAAAAGTAATAAAAAAAGTATACACAGCAATAAAATTGCATAACACTGCTTCGCACGTTGAGTGTACTTATACCTTTATTTTGAAATGAAAAAACAGATCTGTATAATAATAATAAAGTATCAAACAGTCTATGGTATCAACATTATATATAAAATAAAAATAAAATATCTATTCAAGCTGTTGTTTTTCATACTTTTATTTGTGTGGCAGGAGGGAGTGTGTTTCTCATTTTATAAAACGAGAATGATTTCTAGATAAAATACTCTAGGCACTTATTCCTCTCATCATCTAGTTCTTGGGTCTCAATCTCAAACTTTTTCATGGCGATGAAATACTGAACAAACGGCTCTCCGAGGGTGCTGCGGATAACGTGATCCTCCCCCAATGCCTCCAGAGCGTCGTCAAGCTTCACGGGAATGGCAAACTCCTTCTGCTGACTGGGGGCTTTGTTCAGACTGCTCTCGACTTCAGGTTTCGTCTGATGCCGTCCAGGCCTGCGGCCACAGTTGCAGCCAGCACGATGTAAGGGTTGGCCATGGCTGACCCCAACTTGTTGTCAATGTGTGTCTCCCTCCCTCCATGACACTTGATGTTGAAGGAGCTGCTGTTATCATTGCAGCCGCAGGTGGCGCAAAGCATTCGTTTGGGGTCTTTAATCGTTTTGGCGATGTGGCTCCGGCAGCCCAGCCCGGGGGACATCAGGCAGCTCAGGGCAGCAGAGTGGGTGAGGAGCCCGGCCAGCCATTTCCTGCCAATCTCAGATAACTCACCTGCCTTCTCCCCACTCTGGAAGAGGCTACGTCGCCCGTTAGCATCCCACAAGCTGTGAGAGAGCACCCCAGCGTTGTACATGCCATCGTCAGTGAAGAAGCTGGCAATGTAACTGTGTTTACGAGCCATCTCTTTGATGCCGGTGCGGAAGGTGAAGGCGCTGTCTGCGGCTGCAATCCCAAACTCTGGCCTCAGGTTGATCTCCATCTGGCCGGGGCCGCTTGCAGAGGAGATGCTGTCTATGTCTGCGCCCATGCAATACATGTTGTCCACCAGCTGCTGGAAGAAAGGCAGGTCATGGTTGCTGAGCAGAGTGGTGGCCGGGAAAAGGAGTGTCTTTGGTCCAATTCGGTCCGGCGCTCCTAGGACGCAGCATTCATAGGTGAAGGATGAGTTCAGGGAGAATCCCATGCTTTGGAGCTGTCCAAGGAGCTGCTTGGCAATGAGGCGAGGTGAAGTACGAAGGGGGCTTCCTGTCACCGTGCAGGGGTCGCATATGACCCGGGCTGTCTGCTCGGCCCAGGGTAAGACCCTGAAGGTCGAAAGATCAGGGATCAAAAGGACATCACTGCTAAAGTTGGCAGCACTGGCGTGGTCCACTTCATTGCTCTTGGGGCTCAGGGTCAGCTCCAAGTAGCTTCTCGGCATCGGTATCCCATATACCGCTTTCTCCTGTGGATGCAACGTTTACATTGAAGTAATAGTTCAATATTTTAGTGACATACAGTATAATCGTTCACTTTCTGTTTGAGAGTTAGATGAAAAAATCAATACCATTCTGATGTCTGTGAGGTAGAACTGAGAGGTGATTACCCTAGCTTAGCATAACTTGCTTGGCTCTGTGCAAAGTAAAAAAAACTTACCAACACCTCGAAAGCTCACATTATATATTATTTGTTTAATTTATACACAAACAGTAATGGAAAAAGTTCAATTTCTGATTTTAAAAGGAGTTACATGGTGTTACTACATTTAAGCCATCCGCCCAGACCTTCAGATACAACGAACTCACTGCACCTGACGCAAAAATCCCTCTAAAACTGCATTTTTAGCCATACTAGTAGCATGGCTGAGTGGTTGGCAATGTCAGTCCACTACATTGGTCCAGGCTATTTGATGGATTGCCATGAAATGTTTTCATGGTCCCCAGAGGACTGGTGATTAGATAGATAGATAGATAGATAGATAGATAGATAGATAGATAGATAGATAGATAGATAGATAGATAGATAGGATAGATAGATAGATAGATAGATAGATAGATAGATATAGATAGATAGATAGATAGATGATAGTAGATATAGATAGATAAGGTGAGTTGATTACATGGAAGAAGCGGACAGGCACTGTCTTGGACCGGGACACCCATGGAGGTCGGTGGCCTCGAAACGGACAAAGTTGATGTTTCTCTGGCGATCTGCTGCTTGATCTGCTCCATGGCTGAAATGAACCTCTGATTTCCAAAAATCTCAACAGTCTCCTTTTCGTTATCTGTGGAAAAGAGTTTGAAATATCTGCAAAAACATTGGACAACCACTGAAGTTTCATTTCAAACGTATTTAAATTCATGTTTTCCTTTACTATTTTAAAGTCAGTGTGTGAGACCACTTTAGTAAACCACAAAGTTCCCTTTCAAGTCAATAGTATA